ATGAGTAGGAAGGAGAGAGAGAGAGAGAGAGAGAGAGAGAGAGAGAGAGAGAGAGAGAGAGGCAGGATTGGAAGGTGGGAGTAAAGTGAGGGGGAGGAAGGGGGGGAGGGTATGAGGGTGACGTGGCATTCGTTTGTACCAACTATTGTGGCACTAACTCTCCTGGTGTTTGAGTGTATTGGATAATCCCATCGCGTCGTTAGGAAGATTCTGTTTATTGGTGTTTGTGTCTTGACTTAAAATTCCTCGTGATTTCCTTTTAAGTGATATTATTCAAACTGTTGATTAAAGTTGAGTCATCCTCGGCATTCCACAGGGCAGGGTCACGCTCACGCCCATCCAGAGGATAAACAAAACGGGAAATGATGATAATAATAATAATAATATTAATAATAATAATAATAATAATAATAATAATAATAATAATAATAATAATAATAATGATAATGATAATAATAATAATAATAATAATAATGATAATGATAATAATAATAATGATAATAATAATAGCAGTAGTAATAACAATGATAATTATGAATATGACAATGATGGTAATGATAATAACAATGGTGATGATGATAAAGATGATGATGATAGTGGTGGTGATGGTAATAATAATAATAATGATAATAATGCTAACAATAAAGATGATAATTATCACAACAACAAGCAAGAACAACAACAAGCAAGAACAACAACAATAATTTTAAGAATAATGACGATAATAATAACAATAATGATAATAATGATGATAACTATAATAATGATGATGATGATTGATATAATGCAGTTGTTAATAAAACTGATAATCAGAAAAAAATCAGTATGACACATGAACCCCTCAAAATACACAAACAAAAAAAAAACTAAAAAAATACAGACCTTTAAACGCCATGTTAGCCTGTGGACGAGAAAACCCATTCCACATCGCATGGTAGCCAACATACTTACCACACAGCACGCTAGGTGGCAACTCTGGCTTATAATCCCCTATGGAATCCGTAATCTTCCCTTCTACCCCCTCCCCTGTTCCCCTCCCCCCCTCCCTGTTCCCCTCCCCCCCTCCCTCCCTCTCCCTCTCCCTCTTTCGCTCAGTCAGTCAGGTCAAAGCAGGTTCTTCGTCTGCTCGTTTTCCCTGCTCATTTGACTCGTGGTCCGAGAGAGGACGAATTGCGAGTTGAGAGTTGCTTTGGGGTTGGTGTTTGCTCGTAGTAGTAGGGGGGGGGGGGTGGATGATGAATGGGTAGGTGTGGATAAATCGAATAAAGGTGGGATGGGTTATGGCTATGGTTGGATTTTGAGTTCTGGTGCAATGTTGGGTGTTTTTTGAGTATGTTTGTTTGTTTGTTATGATTACATCAGCAACAACAATAATAATAATGATGATAACAACAACACTCTGGAGAACGCTGGTACACTCTTACAAATCCTTTTCGCAACCAACGTCTCGAAACAAACAAACAAACATCATCTATACGTGAATCTATCTCGAAATAGTAGAGAAAAAAAATATTTTGCGACGAAACACAGTACCCCCCAAAAATAACATCATTTAGACCTTGCTATATCGTGGCTAAACAGAATGAATAAATAATACAAAAAAAGACCACACCTTTTCAGCACTTACGCCCTCGGATACGGCATCTCGTTAAGTTTACATAGTCCTCTAGATAGTATTGTAGAATTTTACACAGCAATGGTGGGAGGGAAATGGGGGGAAAGGAAGACAGGGAGAGAGAGAGAGAGAGAGAGAGAGAGAGAGAGAGAGAGAGAGAGAGAGAGAGAGAGAGAGAGAGAGAGAGAGAGAGAGAGAGAGAGAGATAGGGTGAGATAGGTAATATGTATACATATTGAGAGAGAGAGGAGGGCGAGTTAGATAGACATATGGAGAGAAGAGGATGATGAATAAATAAGTTGACATTAAAACACACGGTTGATAGAAAGAGAGAAAGGGATAGATAGACAGAGAGAGAGAGAGAGAGAGAGAGAGAGAGAGAGAGAGAGAGAGAGAGAGAGAGAGAGAGAGAGAGAGAGAGAGAGAGAGAGAGAGAGAGAGAGAGAGAGAGAGAGAGAGAGAGAGAGAGAGCGAGAGCAAAAGCGCGCGGAGGAGCCCTAGTGAGTTTCTCCGCCAATAGATGGCAGCACTCGCCGCGAGCCAAAGGGCGCGTCGTGTTGGCGGGAAGCCCGTCCGTCCACGCTCGTGCTTCGTGGAATTTCCGATTTTCGACTTACATCTCTTATGTGAATTCGAGGACTTGCCAGGCTGCGATAACGGGGATAGATGCCTTGTGGGTTTCCAAGAAGGGATAGCACGCTGTTGCCGTATGATAAAATTCATTTTTCTCCCTCCTTCCCTTCCCTCCCCCTCCCCTCCCCTCCCTCCTTACCTTCCCGCTCCCTCTCCGCCAACCCGCATGTGCGCTCTCAAAGGCGATTCATTTCCTTAAGAATTCATACGAAGGAATTCAGATAAGGCGGAGACGGAACTGCAATCAGGTACCTGGGGAAATTGCATCTGTTGGTATGTGCGGGGCTTACCGAGCGCGGCCGAGTTAGGAAACAATGCTTAAGTAACACAAACTTCATTCGCTCTTACGAAAATCCAGGAGAAACAGGACAAGACGAGAGAGTGTGTTAAAACAGATTACGACACCGAGTTTTACCAATGTGTATTTTCCTCTTACTTTCCTCTATCATAATCATTTTCCGTATCCCTTTCAGCAAAAGAACAATTCTCAAAAAAATGATGCTCAAATCTCGACCGAAGATCCATGCAGGAGCGAAGGAAAAGGTACAGCATCAGGAGGCAGCAGGAGACGCCGATCCTCTCCGAAAAGGGATATATATCTCAGGGGCCGTAGTTCCTTAGTAACAAGGCAGCTGCCCCGAAAGTCTTTTGGATCCTTTCAATGGCGGGAGGAGAGGAGAGAGGAAGAGAAGAGAGGAGGAGGAGGAGGAGGAGAGCGAAGAATTGGGGTATGCAGGAGCGCCCGACCACGTGGCTCGCCCCCAACTCCAGACGGTCGCTCTCCCTCCTATTCTTCCCCTCCCCCCCCCTCCTTCTGTCTGCCCTCCCCACACCCTTCGCCGCAGTCTCCCCAGCTCTGGATTTTTGTACCTAACTGATGCGATAACCTTGTATACTCGGACACAAGGCGGTAATATTGTGAGGCTTAAGGAAGGGCGTGGGAAGGAGAGGGAGGAGGTGGAGAAGAAGGGGGAGAGGGAGGAGAAGGAGGAGGACGAAGAAGAGGAGGAAGAGGAGGAGAAGGAGAAGAGGAGGAGGAGAAAAAGGAGGAGGAGGAGGAGTGATGTTCCAACTTGTGAGTGAAAGTAACCCTCGGGTTAGTTATGCAGAGCGAGACAGCGATTCTCTTTGGAATCTCACAATCTCTTTTACGGCCTATCTTTTCTCTCCCTTAAACCGACCATAGAAACAAGAACACACACACGCACGCACACTCTCAGACAGACGCAGACGGACACACGTGCACACACAACCCTTACAACCCCCCCACCCCCCACCCGTCATCACAGGCCTCACCAGACGCCCGGGTTCGTACCCACACCGGGCAGGCAGGCGACGTTAGGTGCAACGGATGCAGAGCAAATAACTTTTACATCTTTAAGCGAGAGAGCGAGGGGCGGCACCCGTGAGAGATCGATACGGTTGGGTCCGCATGCATTCCTCTCCTGCTGACGGAGAGAGTGCTTGTTCCTGTATTCCTGCCGGTCAAATAACGGCAAGGTTATCTGCGCTCATTATTGAGGAAGGAAGCACTGGGTGTGGAAGGAAGGGGGAGGGGGAGGGGGGTAAGGGGGCTAACAGGAACAGCTCCTTAGTCATAAAAAATAAGGAACTGAGCTCAGGAAAACTTCTTGGTATCACAGCCGACATTAGGGCGCGGGAGGAAGTGACAAATCCCGGGAGTGCATGGGCGGGAGGAAGTGTGCGTGTGTATGTGTGTGCGAAAGAGAGAGAGAAAGAGAGAGAGAGGGAGAGGGAGAGGGAGGGATTCAAGGGCGGATGTTCTTCGATCGGGTTTAAATAGCTGATGGAGGAATGCTGCATGCGGATAGGAACAATGATAATAATAATAACAGTAAAAGGTTAAGATCTCATGGGAGAGACCGGAACCCATCAATAAAAGGAGACGTTCTCGGGGCGCACCGTACGGCAGACGATACGAGAGAAAGGGAGTCGGCTTTCATAAGTGAAGCCTCCGACAGGCGATACAGCAGAGAGGACCGCTGTCAGAAGTGAAGCCTCCGACAGGCGATACAGCAGAGAGGACCGCTGTCAGAAGTGAAGCCTCCGACAGGCGATACAGCAGAGAGGACCGCTGTCAGAAGTGAAGCCTCCGACAGGCGATACAGCAGAGAGGACCGCTGTCAGAAGTGAAGCCTCCGACAGACGATACAGCAGAGAGGACCGCTGTCATAAGTGAAGCCTCCGACAGGCGAGACAGCACCGAGTCCGCCCTGGGTTGGGTCCGACTGCCGTCCTCAGCAGTCACGGCTAACGGACTACCCACGCTAGTCCCGCATTCCTCGCACGCCCTTGCCCGGATATCGCTCCTGGGCTGCTTCGCCATCTACGCCGTGACTCCAGCGTGTCATCTCATGTCATTAATGGAACACCATGGTTGAAAAAGAAGTGAAAAACGCACGCACGAACGCGAGCGAGTGCGAGTGCATGCGTATGCGGCCCCGAGTTTGTATTGAATACCAGGCGAGTGACGTCACGACCGCCGAACTGCCGAGTGAGACAGTACCCCTCCGCGCGGAGCCTAGTTCCCGTCTGGTATGTTGTTTTCTCTAACATCGCGATTGTCACCCTTCCTCTTCATCATTCTTACATTCTAAGTAATTCTTAAGATTCAAATCCTCCCGTTTGTTCACTAGGTGTCTGCAAAAGAGCGATTGCGCTTGTGTTTATAAGAATGTTTTGGAACCGCGCGGAGTAATCGCCGCAGCAATAAAAGCTTCGTCGGTTCAGTCACACCGATAGTACTACGCTGACCACGGAGGTGATCACTACACTTCTCTCTCCTCACGGTCGAGCCAAGGCGTTGATCCTCGCGTGTTATTTATCAGTGGGAAAATTTTTTAACACTCTCTCTGGATTTACCTGTGTGTTACCAGTCCACCTAAGTGGGACACGATGTTTAAGGTGTTTACATCAGTGAATAGTTACCTCAACCCAGGCCCTGTTATGGGAATTCCTCAAGAAAACTTCAAACAAGGTTGGTGTTTGTGGACTTAGTTTCTTAAGGAAAAGTGCATTAGATTTGCCCTCAAGTGATGTTTAGTTTAAGGAAAAGTGTCTGTGGTGTATAGTGAATTCTAGCTTAAGCTTAGCGTGTAATGTCACATGAATCTGTACACTTTGGAGTAAATTCTGTTGTACTCCAAGTGGACGGGACATGATGTACGAGTCGGTGTACAACCCTATATATGTACACATGTTCCACAATTCTTGCCTAACGAGCTGGTTTCTCTCCTTTTGCAGTAACCATGCCAGTCCGAGAACACCTGCATCATCACAATCATCACAACCACAACAACCACAACCACCACAATCACCACCACAACCACCACACGCAACAGCCCTTCGACCGCCAGTACAGAGTCGGCCACATCTTGGGCGAAGGCGGTTTCGGGCGCGTGTATGCAGGCTTCAGGAAGATCGACAACCTCCCTGTGGCCATTAAACAGATCGCGAAGTCAAAAGTGCCTGCTTGGGGATGGGTAAGTGTCTCTGCTTGTGTGTTTCGGGTGGTACTTGGGTGTGTTGGGCGGTGGGGGTCAGCTGGAATGGGACATAATGGTGTTTTCAATATGTGCAATGTGAAAGTGTAGTGTTAGTGAAGTGATCAAGTGTTTGGTAACCGCTCCCCTTAGAAGCTGCCTTGGGCATTTTTCTCTCAATCTGGGCACTCGACTTGCCAAGGAGCTAAAGATGGGCATGTCCTATATAGGCAAACGAGTGTGAAAAGCAGTCAATTGCCGCGGAGTGTGGGGCCTTGGCCAGCCAGCGATGCAAGGCGGTGGTAGGCCACGGTAACCTACTTAGAAACATGTTCTGTCACTGGAGCGAAGGTGGCTGGCTGGGCGGCGGACGAGGAGGTGGCAGATGCTAGGCTGCTCGTATGTCGTATGTCGTGAAAGTTAGGAGCATTAGGATTAAGCTAAAGTCGTGTCGGAGCTGACGTGGTCCCGAGTTCGAAGCAGAAGCGGCGGGCGCGGAAGCATCGCCAGCTTGTGGCACTTTCGAGTTTCTCCGGAACGGTAACACGTTGCGCAAGACGCATGTTAGGTAAACACGTGAAATGTTGACGTATCTGCGAGCATAGTTCTCGTTGCATGCATGCGCGCGCGTGCATGCGTGCTGTATATGGGTCAGGCAACCTGATTTAGTGACACGTGAGGTAGGAAGGTAAACAAACCCTCCCACATCACGACTGCAGTTGCCTTGTGATGTGACCTCGTTTGCAGTGTTTACCGTCCTTGGGGAAGCTTGGAGGAGGTGGAAGCGACTCCGGGAAAAGATAGTGAGGAAATAAAATAAGAAGTTTTACATGCGGGAGAAAATGCACCTGCGTTGCAGCGACGTAGAAATTGCGTGTTGCAGCAAGGGTGCAAAGGACTTGGAGTAAATCATGGATGAGTTTTACGTAAGGAAGGGTCTTTGGTGATGCAGTGACTAGTCGGAAGAGAACGGGATCCTAAGCTTTTTCGTTCGTGAGTGTGAAGTGAATATTTGGGAGAGAGAGAGAGAGAGAGAGAGAGAGAGAGAGAGAGAGAGAGAGAGAGAGAGAGAGAACGTTAAAGGGGGAGAAGGTGAGTGTTTGGGTTCGCTCGGCTCTGCATGGTGACTTTCAATCGATGTCGGGTGAGTCCGTCCTTCGTCCGTTGCGCAAGGCATGCAGATCCCCCTCCCCCCCCTCCCCGCCCCCGACTCCCGCTTAACCTCGTGGTTCTTGGGGGATGGGATGGGGGGTTAGGGTTCCCATGTCACTCTCAGTGAAGTTATCATATGCATGTATGAATGTGTGTTTGCACGGATGTCAGTTTCGAGCACAAGGCAGGTGCGACGGGTCAACCAACCTAGTTTTCGGGGCTGCTGCTCAGAAGAGGGAGGGATAGGGAGAGTGGGGTGGGGGTGGGAGGGGGGGGTCGGCGAAGAGAGCAAGTGTACCTGGCGACAGGTATGAGGCCGAGGAAGAGGTCATGCGTTGGCTCAGAACCAGATAGATACCGGGCTGGTGAACCGTGTAGTCATGGTACCCGGTACTCGGAACGGGGAGGGAATCTTACGAAAAATTTATGGTTCTCGGGTAATTGGCCTTTCTTTTTTTGCATGATTAACTTCATCCACTCGTAGGAAAGGGGCGGTCGTTCGGTGTAGTGCGCGTGGAAGAGGGAATAGGTGCACAGCTTGGGCGTTGGGAAATTTTTCTTCCAAGGTACGAAAATGTCCGGGATATTGGCAACACTTCGGCCCAACGCACGGTGAGTGGACAGGATCGAGGTGGGGGCGGAGGAGGAGGAGGAGGGGGGAGGGGGGGATCGGTGGAGGTAAAACCCACCTCTCACAGACTGTCGTCATGGCGATGCGTCCCTCGGCCCTCCTCAGGGGCACCTGTGACATGATTTTGAATTCATTATGGGAGTTTTGACGTTTCGCCCGTGGGTTTTGTGGGAGGTTAACGGCATTCTTGTCTCTCTCTCTCTCTCTCTCTCTCTCTCTCTCTCTCTCTCTCTCTCTCTCTCTCTCTCTCTCTCTCTCTCTCTCTCTCTCTCTCACTTTTGTTCTTATTTGGGGCGTCTGGTAATGCACAGGCCGCAATGCTGTTGCGTAACCCGGATTCTGCTTACTTTCCCCGAATATCAACACTGCGTGGCAGCTCTCGTGCGTGTGTTGTATAAGGGAAATTACAGCAAACACCTACCTATTGGATGGCGGGTCAGAGAGAGAAAAAAAGCAGGAACAGTTTGGTCTCTTGTTGCCAAACACTATGGTCAGATTCGTGTTGGTTGCCAAGTGAAAGTAGCCGGAGTAACCCGGTCCTGCTTCCTGGAATGAGCCCAACTTAAAGGGAATCCATGGGCAGATATGGGGGCCGGGCCCTGCAGCTTTCTAAGGGAGCGTTACCTTGTTTATAGTTTAGGTTGTTTTGATGTTAGTATGTTTTTGTTGGTTAAATGAGACACTCGGGACTTACGATTTTTCTTTCCGTCTTTACAGATAAACGGTGAGCGAGTTCCTCTCGAGATCTGCCTCTTGAAGAGGGTCTCCCACGTCCCCGGCGTCATCAGACTGATCACGTGGTACGAGTTCTCCGACTGCTTCGTGATCGTCATGGAGCGACCCGAAGCCGTCAAGGATCTCTTCGATTACATCACGGATCGGAAGCGAGTGCCCGAGCCCGAGGCGCGGTACCTCTTCCGCCAGGTGGTCGACGTGGTGAGACAGTGCCACGCCGCCGGTGTCATCCACAGGGACATCAAGGACGAGAACCTCCTCATCACCACCAACAGACAGGGCAGAAAGGTCATCAAGCTCATCGACTTCGGCTCGGGGGCGTTCCTCAAGGACAACATCTACACTGACTTTGATGGTGAGTGTCGGGCCTTGGCGGCCTCCCGGGCCCTTTCGGGCTTGTGCTTGCAATGAGATGTGAAATATATGAAATATGCAAGATGGTTGCGAGGACGACCACGCAGTTGTTGCTGCTGGTGAGTCACTCGAACGTCACCTGGTGGGTGTGGTGGCGTAGCGGCGGGTCGGGGCGGCGCCGGGCGTCAGGTTACCGTGGCGCGGCGCCAGCACCTCACGCGACCCGCCGCCGCCGCCGCCGCCACCACCGGGTCGCCATCCCCCCTCCCCCCGCCACCACTCAAAGTAATTTTAGGCGCGATGGTCACGCTGAGCCTTGCCCGCCGCTGACTCATGTCCTTCCCACAGTCACTGACCTTGTTTCTCCTTCTGCTTGCAGGAACCCGAGTTTACTCTCCCCCCGAGTGGATCAAGCAGAAGCAGTACCAGGCGGGACCTGCGACGGTGTGGTCGCTGGGCATCCTGCTCTACGACCTCGTTTGCGGCGACATTCCCTTTGCGCAAGACGAGCAGATCATCTCGGCGATACTGGACTTCCGCGTAAGCGTGTCCGACGAGTGCCAGGACCTGATCCGCCAGTGCCTCAGCGTCCGGC